TTTAAGAATTTTATAGCGTTATAAACATGATCCATAACTCATCAGGCCACATGTTTTTGCCTTGTTTCATCCCAGGTAACAGCAATATTAATTTCCATCTTTAAAGTGCTTTCCCATACATCTTTTTACATGAGTAATGAAGATAATGCCATACCCCTTTGTAAAACTGGCCAATTACTTTGTTACTTTTATAATAAAATCAAAAATGGTTTATTTGGCCCATGAGGGGCTACTAGATTTGGCTCCTAATTACATTTCTATTGTCATCTTCTGATACCTCTTCGCTCACTATGCTCCAACCCCACCAGCCTCCTTTCTAGCCTCAGGACCTTTGCACGTGCTGTCCCATTTGCCTTGGCATTTCCATTTTTTTCCAGTCTCCCATTGCCTAATTCCTTCTCATCTTTTAGATCTTAACTCAAATATCACTTCCTCGGAAAGTCTTCTCTGACTTCCCCACTAAGTGACCTTCTCCAGTTACTCTCTATCTGATCAGGCGGTTTATTTTCTTACCAACTTTTAAATTATTGCTATATTAGCTGCACTTATCACAGTGCCTGGCACATAGTGACTGCCCAACAAACATTTATAGAATGCATAACTGAATGACTGAATGAATGAATGAATTCTATGAAACAAGTAAAGAATTATTATCCCATTTTTCCAAATAATAAAATTGAGGCCCAGCTAAATTGAGTGATTTACCCAGTTTTAAAAGGATTTTTCTGATCCCAAGCTCAGTGCTAGTGTCACCATTCTGTATGAAACCTAAATAGTCTTTAAGAAAATCATAATCTGTCCTTGGAGTCGTATTTTCAATTTTTATTGAAGTTTCAAAGCCAACTTGATTAACTATAGAAATAATATCTTTATCTCAACAATTCCTGAGCCTGGCTAAAGTGCCAAGCTTTTAATTTTTTTTTCCTTAACACACAAAGTCCATTGACCTTTATCTCAGCAGCCTGCTTGATCTTAAACATATGTCAAATAAACCCAAAAAGAGTTTAAGTAACCATTATGCCTACCAAGTAAATGTTGTATCCATAAAACAGAAAGTCAGAAGTGATGTTTAAGGAATCATACTCGAGAGGTAGGTTGAATTATAAAAGTATCTCTCTTCCATCATGCCTAAGTACTTACTTTTGACATAAAAGATAAGCCCAATACAGTGTTTTACCAAAAGAATCATTGCACTGTTTACAGATTTTTGCAGTAACTAAAGACATATACTGATCTGGACAAATATATCTGGATAAATGAAGTAAAAAGTAAGCGTACTTAATATATATTAATCTGCTATCTGAGGTTTCCACAGGACAGAAAATTAATCCATGAATTATTTTAATACTCCAAACACTAGATATTGCCTGATTGCTACATTTGTATCACTCAAATACAGGCAGGCAATTCAGAGGAAAAACGGGCTTCACAAGATTTCCTCCCTCTTAGCTCAAACATGCCAACATTCTGTAGCTAAATTGTGAAATAGGTTTAAAGCCCCAATAAACTAAAGTGATAAAGACCCAGGGTGGAGAATGGTTTGGGCAGTCACAAGCATTTACTCCCGTTTCAGATGGATCGTATGAATTTGAATTCTTACAGTGACTGGAATAGATAAGCCGCAATGTCTCTATTCTGTTATTTTAGTTACCGCCGAATTTCCATAGCCCCATAAAAGCAGCTTTCCACGCTCAGCTTAATGGATGCAACAATTTACCTCACATCACACAGTTCAACAAGCCAGCCAAAGAAAGTCAAGTTTAGGTTGCAATCATGGGTAAAGGCATCATAACGCAGTCATATTCTTACTTGCAAAAGTGATTACTACGCCCACCTTTCCCAAAATGAGCCTTGTGACTTTCCCCAGGAAAGAGCTCTCTGCGTCAAGAGACAAACCCAGGTGCTCATGCTTTAGCCTTTAGATTAATCATTCACCTGATTACTAAACAGTCACCATGATAGAAATGACATTTTGATGTATCAAAATCAGGAAAAAAGATCTAACATTTCTTTCTAAGGTAATTTAATAAAAATGGGATAAAAGTCAGATTTTCACAGGAGTGGGGAAAAAAATACTGCCGCCAAAATTGAGTTGTTTTTTCACACACCACATACCTAGACAGGCAAAATGCCTTTGACAAGTTTTCCCCACTCACGTATCTCCTAAAGAAACACAGGCTCTGACAAATGCAAAAATTATTCACAATACTTATTAAAGAAATATACCTATTTATGATAAAGGATTAAGGTGACTAGAAAAATTTCTCTATATTATTAATAAGCCTACACCCAGGAGTCACTTCCATAATCAGAGCTTGAAGAGACTAGAACTCAGGTCTGCTAAATGCCAGTTCATTGCTCCATCCACATCTCTTCTTTTGGGACCTCAGATTCTTCATCTTCATAGTGAGAGATTAGGTAACACTGTTGTTAGCAACTCTAAAACTCAATGCATCTCAGTACCTAATGGGGCATTTACATTTTAGGAGATATTAGGCCTCTTTCAGAGCCATGGATTGTTGGAAGTGGCATTTGTCTTTCAAGACAAATTACCATTAACACACCCACCCACACCCTTTCTTTCCAACAATAAGGAATAACCAAATTCGATGTGATAATGTGTCTGTAAAAGGCAGTGCCTCAATGGAATGCTGGATCCAGCAAAATTCAAGCAATAAATTTTATGGAACTTGATCATATTCTCTCATACTCTCACAAAGCCCTTTATGATAACACTCAAGTAAACCCATCTGGTTGAGTTAATAATTAGTTTAAATCTGTTACAAGGTAATAGTGCAGAGGCAAGTCATTTCAGGTACATGATGATACAGCGAATCTGTGACACAATTTACCGATAATATTTTGCACTGCCTTTCATTTTTCTTTATTTCCTCCTTTGATTAGGAAACAAAAAGTTATTAAAGAACAAACAAGACCTTCAAATAAGTCCTATATCCATATAGGCTGGATGAAAAGAAAGAAAAAAATTTTCCTAGGGAATTCCATAAGGTTTCAGAAGGAATTCTCAAAAGTTGAGACAGACCCCAGGCCATTTCTATATTTTGAGCTACCTGGTAGGTTGTAAAATAAAGAAATGCTAAAATATGTGGTGTATTTATTTAAATGTTTATGTGTAATACAAAAATATGTAACTGTGTTGTCCACCAGAGTTCCAGAATGCACAATGTACACTCATTCCTAGTGTGCTTACTAAAAACAGTGAAATGTAGTAATGAGACATGAAAGTTTTCAAATGGATATTGTATTTCCATCCAGCCAGGGTATGAAATGACATCCATAAGCAAATTGAGAGATATTTCATAAACATGAAACCTGGAGCCAAATGATCTTTCAGCCCATGTTTCCAGTAATTCCATCCCCTGGGGAAGATCCTGGAGATCGCTTGAAGACTTGTTATGTGGCCAGGGCCTTTAAACATCAATTAATTAAATATCGGTGACACAAAAACAGTACAAGTCTGTGACACTCAACATCAACAAGTATTTATTTATGTGTAGCTACCCAAAGACCATCCCCCACTTCAAAAGTAAATAGCGGGTAATCTGATTACTGAGGCTGGAATCATCAAAGTGCAATAGAGTTGAAAATGAGCTAATGATTCCGGTGTTTTGATGGTAATGAAAAGCGAGAAGGCTGAGACCAGAGGGCAGGGAGAGTGGATTCCTGGGGAGAGAAGCTCTGAGCCCTGGGGGAACAGCCAGCACCTCAGCTGCCAAGGCAGAACTGAGCACAGTGGTTGTGGTCAACCCTGGCTGTGTATTTCAGACTACTGATACCCAGGCCCCACCCAAGGTCAATTCATCAGAATTGCTGAAGGTATCTTTAAAGGTCTAAGGTGACTAGAACGTGAGTCAGGGATTAACAGCCACTTAGTCAGGGAGGCTGAGGATCAGAGAAACAAAAGACTGAGGAGCAGACAAAAAAAAAAAAAAAAAAAGAATGAAATAATGCTATTTGCAGCAACATGGATGGAAGGACGGATTATCACATTAAGCGAAGTAAGTCGGACAGAGAAAGACAAATATCAAATGATATCACTTACGTGTGGAATATAAAAAATGATACAAATTTTACTGACAAATCAGAAACAGACTCACAGACATAGAAAACAAACTATGATTACCAAAGAGGAAAGGGGTTAGGGAGAAATTAGGAGTCTGGGATTAACAGACACATTACTATATATAAAATGGATAAACAAGGATAAACAGCACAGGGAACTGTATTCAATTTCTTGTAATAAACTGTAATGGAAAAGAATCTGAAAAAGATAGCTATACATGTACGTATGCCTATAACTGAATCGCTTTGCTATACACCTGAAACTAATATTGTAAATCAACTACACTTCAATAAAAAATAAAATCTAAAAAAAGAAAAGGCTCCAATAATCAGGACTTGGGGGACTGCAAGGAGAAAGAGCCAGTTCATCCTAGAATGGGTCTGCTATGGGAGTGAGGTCGGGTGGGGGGTGTCCAAAGATGGGTCCCTTTCATGTTTACCAACAGAGCAGAAAAAAATAGCCCTGTATAGGAAAGGACAGTCAGATGACTGAAGCTATGGCAGGCTAAATCCAGACAATGTTTTTCTCCACGTTACTCTGCATGATGTCTCCGTCCCTTTGTACCTTACAGATGTCTATATTATAAACAATTACCATCACTTATCATGTGGTAGAGAACAGGTCACATTTCTGCTCAAAAGTGTCTAATAGTCTTCCTCTTACTACAGGAAAAAATCCAGTTCTTACTGGGCATGGCTTGCAAAGACCTACAGGCTTGCTCTAAATTGTGGTCCCAAGACCAACAGCAATAGCGCTATTGCCCTGAGAGCTTGTTAGAACTACAGAACCCCATCCCAGACCTACTAAACCAGAATCTAAATTTTAACAATATCCCCAATGGCTTTATGCACATTCAAATGTGAGAAGTGTCAGCCTACAGGACCTACTTACCTTACCTCTCCAACCCACCCCCATTACTTCTCTGGCCCATCTGCTACCTGACTTGCTCTTCCAACATCTTCTTACTGTTTCTTCAACCCATCAGGCTCTCTCCTGTTCAGGGCCTTTACACGGGCTGTTTCCTCTGCTAGAACGTGCCTCCTCCAGGTATCTGGAAGGCTCATTTCTTTACCTCACCTTCTTCAGATCTTTACTCACATCACCTCCTCCATGCACACATCCCTAGCCATCCTGTTTAAGATTGAAGAAATTTTTCCAGACATCCCCTCTTCCCTGCTTTCTGTCCGTAGGACTTACCACCAGCTGACATGCTTTTTTGCTTTCTATTCAATTGTTTACTAACAGTCTCCCCGTGATAGATCACAAAACGTGGCCACCGAGTCTTTGCATCTCTTCCTACGGAGGCGTGACGTGTATGTCTCCACCTCTTGAAGCTGGGCTTGGTCATGTGACTTGCGGGATGTTAGTATATGGGATATGAGCAGAAACTGGTGAAGGGCTTGCATACTGAGGCGTCCTCTCTCTAGCTGCCAGGGTACCTTCTTGTCACTCTGGAGAGAAGCCCAAGCCAGCCTGGTGGATGATGAGAGACACATGGCCAATTACCGCCATAATCCAAGACAGCAGCCAGCCCCCACCATGGGAATGTGAGTGAAGCCATCCTAGACCTTACGTGACCCACCAGTTAACTAAAGAACCTAACAGTCAACTCACAGCCTCATAGCAATAACGATTATTGTTGTAAGGGTTTGGGGTGATTTGTTTGAAGCAAGCTGATGCACTTGTAAGTTCCAAGAAGGCAGAGATTTTTGTGCCCTACTGTATCTCCAGGGATTAGTAGTGTACTTAACATGGTGTAGCTATTCTAAAATATGTGCAGTGAATGTTGAAGGACAGAATGATGGCAAAGGAAAAACAAACAAGCAAGCAAACACAAGTGAAAGAAATAAATGCCAGAAATGGCCTCCATGGCTCAGAGACAAGACAGAAGGTGCAAGGACCTTCTGGATTCTTTAAAACCTTGGTCTCTTCAGAGTTAGGGTGGATTAAATAAGATTTTGACTATTTTGGTAACAGAATATTTTAGCAAAAAAAAAAATCCACATGTTCATTCACATGCAGTGTTTCAAACGTATTCAAAATAATCCTAGCTTTATGATGCAGACTTGTCGGAGACTGCACAGCCATGTGACCTTTAGAATATTTTTCACATTATGCAGCGCTTACTCTCCTCATTTTAAGTTATTCTGGTTTTTAACAGCTCGCAAATCGGCGAACCAAATCACTGCATGTCGCTTCGGTTCCGTCTTGCCAAAGAGGAAAAATCTGCTGCTTTGGATGCATTTCAACAGTTGGAATATTCAGGCCGTAACATTTTAAATCTCACATGCTCCCCCACTGTGTCCACCTCCCATAAATTAGTAAGTGCCTAGACACCCATATGTTAGTGAAGCCAGTTCTGTAACAACGAAGGCAGGATGGCCAGTGGATGGGGCGGTAAATTTAAGTGGATTCTGCAACAGTGGGTGCCATAGTCTGAAAGCACAGCACAGCCCTCAGAGAAGGCACAGACAAGTGCAACATGCACTTGCAAGTTTTCTATTAAACAATTAATGGAGGCACAAAACTCACGTTATTTTCATTTGATAGGAAAAATTTAAAAAACTCATAATACACTAAGTTTCTACCTTCCTGGAAAAGGAAAAACCCCTCAGTTTTCTAAGAACTTACCAATCATGGACAGGTACATCTAAATTCATAGAACAAGTCTCTTCCCGAGAGCTGTCAAGGCTGGGAGAAGCAACCCCGTGCGATTAAGCACTGGGATCTTCAGGGCTTCTTTCAAATCTCTAAGCAACAGAGTCCCATACACACAATTGCAAATACCTAATATCTGGCTTTTGATGTTTTTTCTGAACACATGTAATTATCCCTTGCATATGAGCAGAACATACACTGGCGATCACTGAGGTCTTCCTATTAAGTCACAGGGTTCTTATCCAGGGTATCACATAAACTTTTGCCCCTCTTCCATGATGGAGCTCCGTCTATACTGTGTGCCAGGCTAAGGAGACAGCCACCGTACTTCTGTATTAGTGGGAACCGGCAAGGTTCCACAGCAGGAACAAATGAACCCATGAATCTCAGTGACTTGAAACAACAAAAGCCTGTTTCTAGCTCATGTTACATGTCCATTGTGCGCTGGCTGAAGTGCAGCTCATTGGAGCCCGCAAGGACCCAGGCCAACGGAGAACCCACCACCTGGAGCTTGGCAGATCCCGGGGCGCAGATGCAGAGCACAGGAAATCATGCACTGATGGTCAAAGAAGGGACCCGTGTCACAGCTGCTCATATTTCACTGGCTGACGGAAGTTACCTGGCCACACTTAATGCCAAAATATTGGGAAATACAATCCTAGCTCAAGCAAGGAGGCGAACCAAAAATATTCAGCGGACGGTACTTATGATGCCGCCGTCCCTATATACTCCCTGCCTCTACGTACTCACAGCCATTTATCCATTTCAGAGTATTTTTCACAGGGCATTTTAATGGCAGAGCACACTCTTCCAGGAACCTACGATGAACCAGACAGAAATCCCATCTTTAAGGGGGTTCCTATCTATTGGAGGAGATAAAACATCCAAGTAAACTGAATACAAACAGAACATGTCACATGCCAGTAAAAAGAAGCTTACAAAGTTCAACGAGAGCTTAAACAAGAGGTTTTAGCTACAGGCAGTTTCATCTGAGGAAATGACATCTGAGAAGGGCTTTGCAGAATGAGTGAGAACCGGACATGAAGGTGTCCAGGCAGTGGGAGCAACTCGGGTGGGGACAGAAAAGTGGGGCATGGCAATTCAGGTGCAAAGAATGACAAAATGTTTAGGCTGAATGACATTTAGAACAGATAAAGAGGAAGAAGGAGGGGGAGGGGAGGGAGGCGGGGAGGAGGAGGGAGTCGCAAAGGAAGAAGAGGAGGAGGAAGAGGAAGAAGTCTTTCTGCCCAGAGTGGGTTCTGAAAACTTCATCTGCCTTATGCGGTGGTGGCACAGAGGGTAGGACGGGTGCACTAGTTAGTCCAAATAAGAAGTAACAAAAGCCCCTGCTACAGCAGACCCCACACAACGGAGGGAAGGCAACAGTGCTACTCCAGAACCACCTGCAGCACGAGAACTCGGCCTCTCCATCTCCCCTCCATCTGACCCAGAAAATCTAACTCATCTTTCCCTCTGTCTGCCAGAGCCTGAAGGGACTGGTCATTTGACGCTTAGATCTCATCGAAGCAAAGATGTCAGCTGGGGAGACCCATCTCGACTGACCCATGGATTCTGGCCATGCCACCCAACCAAGAGAGCATTCCTTTCAGAATTAAGGGCAGTTAACTCCCAGCAGATATTTGCTCTATCTGTCCTGAGTTTATTTCCTGTCTCCAAGGATATTTCTGAAGCCAGTCCTCAAGGACTAAGCTGCAGGGCTTCATCTATGTCTGTTTGTCCGGGAGCCCACAATTCCTCCTCTCATGCAAGTTTAACTTCAGCACTTTGGCCCTTCAAAATGGACAATCCAGGTAAGCCTTGCCATGGTCCATTCAGGGAGGTCGGGCCGTAAGCCCCTGACCATCACAAGATTCTAGGGCTTATATTATACGGAGCTTTAGGACCTTTCCTGTGCGCCAAATCTGCTTATTTTTGCTACTCCCACTGATTCCACACACAGAGCAAAATCTGCCTGTGTTCCGAAACCCTCTCTTACTACTGATCAATTCTACCATTGAGGGGATCCTCTGTGCTGTTCTTCCTACTGCTGCCACAGACACAAGACTTGCGCTGCCACCTCCAGGGAGATGAGCACAGCCAGCAGGGTCCTCTGGGTTCCCTGCCATCCTTGGAGAAGCAATTTCAATCCTAGGATGATCTCGGACTTGGCTCTAGGGGTGGACGATGTCACACTGTGTACTCTGACTCTCACACTAAGAATTTTCATGGGCGCCAAAGCCAGAGACAATGACCCTGCTGACGATGCCAAGATGTGAAACATTTACAGATAAGGATTAGGCTATTTCCCAGGAAGCCGTGGACTTTAGAATCCACACACAAATGACTCATCAATGCTAGATCACTCCCCTTTACCACACTCCAGTACAGAATATGCCATGCACGCTTAGCTTTCCTTACTGACTGGGTAGTAGAAAATTTTTCATTTTATATACTTTGCAGGCCTGTAAAATACTTCAGGATTCAACCAATATTTAATGATTACTTATATAGTGTGGAACACCATGCTACATGCTACAGAATAGTAATGAAGCCCCTTAAAAGGGAAAAAAAGAAAGAAATACTTAACGATATTAAATGTCCTAAGAAAATTTTGGGCAAAGTACTATGGGAGTCAAAGAACCTGAAACATCAGAGCGATTGCCCCTATACCGGTATTTTCCCAATACTTCCCAAGTGAGTATAGTGGAGATGACATTTGAGATCTGCCTTTGAAAGAATTTCCAGAAGAGCAAGGGGTCAGGTGAATATTCCAGGTGGAAAGACTGGCACAGAAACAAGAAAAGGATAGAATGTAATATCTGGGGAACAATGGAAGTCCAGTTTGGCTTGGTTAAGGGACAGAGCAGGAAAGACAATGGAAAAAGTATTTCAGGACAAGCAGATACAGGCCTTTAAAGGCCCAGGGAACGAATCTGTTGAAATGCTGTGCATGGGCAAATGGAGGCTACTGGTGGCTACTGAACAGGTACATGGCATCACCAAAATGAAGCTTTAAGATCATCCTCTCCAATCTCAAGCTCAACCACTTCTTCCTTGTTAACTAGACTTTGTTCGCAGCAGCCAATTTTCTGTTCCCCTGAGACCTTTGCCCTGGCTGTCTCCTCTGCACAGACCTCACCCCAGCCTGGATCCCTGTGTGCTTGGCTCCTTAACATCTCTGCTTCAGTGTTTCCTCCTCAATGAGCCTCCCTAACCAGCCTATCTAAAGGAGTTCTCCCACCTGCAGTCACTTTGGACTCTACTAATGTATTTTGTTTCCCAACAGCAATTTATCACAATTTGAAATTATGTTATTCATTTCATTACTGGCTTATCAGTTGGCTCCTCCCACTATAATATGCATTCCAGGTGAGCAAATACCTTATTAAAGACAGATACAGTAGGACTGGGTCTATTAGAATGGCTGATAAACAATAGGTATTCAATAACTGTTTTTTAGCAGCTTTACTGAGATAAAATTCACATAACATACATTTATTTAAAGTATCCTATTCAAGGGGGAGGGTATAGCTCAGTGGTAGAGTGCATGCACAGCATGCATGAGGTCCCAGGTTCAATCCCCAGTACCTCCATTAAATTAATCAATAGATAAATAAACTTAATTGCTTACCACAAAAGAAATGCAAATCAAAAAAGTATACTATTCAAATGTTTTTAGTATAGTTACACAGTTGTGCAAAAATCACCACAACAAATTTTAGAACATTTTCATCACCCCCAAAAGAAACACCCTACCCATTAGGAGTCGCTCCCCATCCTGCTACCCCGCCAATCCTTCCAGCCCTAGGCGACCACTAACCTACTTTGTCTCTGTAGATTTGTCTACTCTGGACATTTCATAAACAGAATCATACATACATGGCCTTTTGTGACTGGCTCCTTTCACTTAGCATAGTGTTTTCAAGGTTCATCCATGTTGTAACAAGTACCAGCACTTCATTCATTTTTATTGCTGAACCATACAATACTGTAAGGATATACTATATTTTGTTTATCCTTTCATCAACTGATAGACATCTGGGTTGTTCCCATTTTCCGGCTCTTATGAATAATGCTGCCATGAACTTTTGTCTGCAAGTTTTTGTGTGAACAAGTGTTTTCATTTCCCTCGAGTATATACTTAGGACTGGAACTGCTGGGTCATACGGTAAGTCTATGTTAAACCTTTTGAGGAACTGCCAGGCTGTTTTCCAAGAGTGGTTGCATCACTACATTTCCACCAACGGCAATGAGGGTTCCAATTTCTCCACATCCCCGTCAACACTTGTGATTATGTCTTTTCTGATTACAGCAATCCAAGTGAGTATGATGTGAATTAATATCTCATGGCAGTTTTGATTCACCTTTCCCTGATGACTAATGATGTTGAGCATCTTTTCATGTGCTTATTGGCCATTTATGTATCTTCTTTGGAGACAGGTCTATTCAGATCCTTTGTGCCCATTTTTAATTGTTTTTTTTTATTATTGAATGTATGAGTTCTTTACATATTCTGGACCTAAGTCTCGCATCAGATGTGATTTGCAAATGTTTTCTCCCATTCTGTGGGGTGTCTTCTGACTTTCTTGATGGTGTCCTTCAATAACTATATTTAAAATAAAACAATGAATAAAACTAATCCTTAAAGACAGAAAAAAAATCTGTGACCAGCTCATAAGGATGTGGCAAGTTACTGACAGAGCAGGACCTAGCAGGGAATTCACGTCACCTGTTTTCATCCTTGAGTTTTGTTAACTGGTTCTCAGCATTGTCCAACCAGCCCAGAAGCAATGACATCATCCTATGATGAGTCAAGGAATGTAGCAGTTGGTAAATTGGCCCATGAGCACTAACCAAATGGAAAGCTGCCCCAAGGTTAAAAAAATAAAGAAAAGACATTTTGCTGGAAGCTAGGCTGTAATAAATCTTAAGTGGCCTACAATTTAGTTTTCTCTTGAAAAACTCTGAAATTGATGAATGGGGTCCCACACACAGAGAGGAAAAGAACCATATTAGTAAAATGCAACTAGAATAGGCGCAGGATGAATAAGCAGTAAACTTCTAAACTTGTAGTTATAGATCTCTGCTTACAAGATTAAAGGCCCTGAAATTGTCTTCCCTCCCCACACTGCATTCAAACGAGTGAGCACTGCCCAGTTTTATTATGGCTGAGAAACTTCAACTAGTGAAAACAAGGTACAAGCCTGGGAACATCAATATGGAGAGAACTGGTATATTTTTACAGCTGTTAGAGCTTCTCAGAGTAGAAAAATACCAGACCTTAAGTACTTACTACAAAAATACCATACTTTAAGTACTCAGTACAAATATATATGATATATATGTGTGTGTGTGTGTGTATCTGTATACACACAAACACATACACACACACACATACACACACATACACACACACAGGGAAAGGCAGCAGGAAGAACTTGCTTTTAATAAATTTTAAGTTTCAATGACAGGATGGTATCCACAATGTAATTTTCCTAGGACAGAATTAACCTCTTAGATAACGAACAGAAGATTAAACCAGAAACTTCACGCTTCTTTTGTGATGCTAACCCTAATTTAACAGATCAGTGCAAACCAGATTAATATTATATACAGCCATCTAAAACTACAGAGATCAATTTATAATTTTTAAAACACATTTTAAAATATATCTGTAGCCTTAAAAACAGTAACGTTAAACTAAAAATACTTAGAAGACATGTTCAGAACATAATTTCATTATATTATATAAAATAATGTGTGTAAAAGGCAGAATACATGACATGTGAGTAAATTATAGGCATAATTATTAATTCTAATGGAAAGTAGGTTACGTGATAATTTAAGGTAGAGGCAGACATAAAATGTGACATTGTATATATCATTTAAAAACCATCCTTAAATCTTATTTCTGACTTCACATTCTCAGTCTACACTCTTCCCGCTATAGTCAGTGCTCAATGCAATCTTCAGTTTTTAAATCAAATATGGGAAGGCTCATTTGGGAGCTGAAACCAATCGCTCAGGTGTCTGTCTTTATCCCTTAAGTTGATACAGGACCTGCAGTGCAAATAACAGTGCACAGATGTGTAAAGTAGAGATAATACCTAAATTTACCCAAGGAGAATTGCTGTATGGGGCAGACTTCGTGTTTTTCTGCCTAGCAGGTATACCAGCACGAAATACTTGGAATCCTTATCTTATCCAACCTGATAACCTTGCCAATATCACAGCCTCACAGTTTCTTGATTTCAGCCAGCCCACTGGCCTTCACCTGTTCTCTATCTGGTCAGCCCACCTTGGACCTTATGATCATGCAGAATAGCTCTAACCTATACCTTACAAAGAAAAGCTACCCTCTGGAATGGCTCCCATGTTTCCGGGGCTACCACTCTTACTGAACTGGCTTTCCGTTTTTGTTAAGCTTTTTTTTTTTAGTGTTTTTTTTTTTTAATGGGGGCGGGTAATCAGGTTTGTTTGTTTGTTTATTTAATAGAGGTACTGGGAATTGAACGCAGCACCTCATGCATGCTAGGCATGCACTCTACCACTGAGCTATACCTTCCCTCTGGCTTTCCATTTTTATTTGGAACTATAGCGTTTATACCTGCCCTATTCCTTTGGTTTACTTGTCCTATTTTGGCCCTTCCACCTCTCTCAAATCCTGGACACTACAGTCTATCATGCCAAAGATGGTACCCCTTGCGTTTAAGAATCATTCATCCCCATCACCCCCAGCTTCACACAGTCTCTTGTTCCCTTTTCTCTCACAAATTCTAACTCCCTGTGTCTCCTCTTCTAGTCTCAAGTTCCTCAGCATTAGTGATAAAAGCACAAAACAATATAGATTGGTCATTAAGTACAAGCGACAAATAATCTCATTGCTGTTTGGCAATTCTTCTCATAGGCATTGGTCATTAATTCTTACCAGAATTTCCTAACAATGTTCCAAAATACTAGAGCACCTGGCCACCAATTTCACCCAGTTTCTCCTCTCTCTGCAGGCAGCCTTCACCTATGAACTGATAATGAGATCCAGGCCATTGTCCACACATGCTCACTTTCTTTCCTCCCCAATGTGAACTCCCTAAATCTCCATTCACTCTCATTCTTCTTTAGTCTCAAGCCATCAATGTTCCTCTTCCCTCCCCAACCTAGTCCCCTCTCTGTACACCCTTTATGTGTCTTGTCCCAAGGGCCCACTGTGCTTTTCGTCTGCCACCCACTGTGTTTGGTGCTGGGGACACAAACAGAAATGAGACACAGCCCTGCTTTCCCAGCTAGTGGAAGAACAAATACACAATTACACACTCACACACAGATACACGTACAATTAGGGTGACCATATCATTTCTCTGCCAAATTCAGACATGTTGGAAAGTGAACGGGGATATAAAAAATACTTAATGGAGGTGAATTGATTTACCGCAGGCATAAACCAGTGTTGTATTATCCCTGGCAAAATAAGATATGTGGTCACACTAATTACAACAGACTACAGTGCCTTCAATTATGTAGCTATTAAAATGTGTCTCAAGTTATTTAGTAACAGTAGAAAAGGCTCATGATATAATGTTAAGTGAAAACAGCAGGGTGAAAATAGTATATAGAAACTGAGCAGAGTTTGGTTTAAGATATATATATATATAATAACCGACATTCATGGGGCATGTAGTATGTGCCCGGCACCATTCTCACTAACCTCACAACAATCCTATGAGGGAAATACTAGTAGATCTTTTTCACACATGAAGAAACTAAGGCAGAGAGAGCTTGCGATGCTTGCCTAGGGTCCCCCTGCTAGGAAGTGGAAGTATTAGGAATCAAACCCCTTTGGTTCCAGACCTACAATTCTAACTACTCCAGTACCTTGATGAGAAAGAGATCAAGGGAGATAATGCAGGTGGGTAGGCAGACGTGCAATGAAAAACTTCTGCACTCACCTCCTCACCTGCCCTACAAACCCAACTCACTATTCAGTCAAGCACCAGGTCTAAAAGTACGGGTAACCTCCCTGATTCCAATTCTCTAAGCCATGTTTCAGTTCTCATCTCCTAGACTCTCCCCACAGAACTCCTCTTGAGTGCGTACCCTCTGTGGCTTTCTGACTCTGTGTCTTCAGGGCCTCCCTGCCCCCTCCATTTCCTTTCTTTATCCTCTGCTTCCTACAGAGAGACATTCCTTCAGGGTCTATTCTCAGCTCTCCACTCTCTTTGTGCTTCATCTCTTAGCATCCCGTGCACTTCCACGTCTTCACTTATACAGAGGTGGCTAAGTGCCAGTCTTTACTTCTTTCCCATCCTAAATTCTCTTGTGCCTACTGGACATTTCCATCTGTTTGTCTCTTAACCTACCAACAACAAACACTAAGGCTGACTCTACCATTCTGTTCCCCAAGATGCTCCTGCACACTGTCCTCATTCTACAGACGAGTCAACCATTCTCCTGGTCCCCAGGCTATAAACTTGGCAGTTCTCTTCACTTCCCTCCTCCTCATCCTCCACTTCCATTTTGTTACCAAGCCACATGGAATCCACCTTTATAAGAGCTTTCAAATCTCTTCTTTTTTCATTATTACAGGTTCTGTGCTTGTTAACAATAACTTTTCCCAACACAACAGCCTCTCTTCCTCCTCCAGTTCATTATGCATAGGGCTACCAGCAGACTCCCCCAAGGCATGACAAAACTATACTGCACTGACTGTAATTCTATTAGTATTCGTCTTGCTTAACAATAGTTCTGGATAAAAATGTCCTAGCTCCTTGAAAGCAGAGAATGTCTTATGTATTACATGGTGGACTCTCACGTGTATTGAATCAATCGGTCGTGCCTCCTCAGGGACCTTCAACATAATTTTTTATCCTCCTTGTTAATGTTAAAAGTCCCTAGCCTAGGCACTTAAGGCCTTATATAATCTGATCTGCAGTGGGTTTTTCTTTTCTTTTTCTTGTCCCACATCTCTATTCTCTCATTCTAGTAGTAGCATCCTCTTTTCTTCTTGGGAACTGTCCCTCCCCAGATGGTGGGTTGTCCATCCAAGGTCAACAAACATCCCTCTCACTTCAAGGGTGGACATGTGACCCAAGCTGACTCACCAAAACATCACCAGCCCTGTGAAGAGAGTGGACCACAAGTGGGGAGATAACCCAATCGGGAAGAATTGGAGTCTTTTTCAGGGGTTAATGTCAATACTAGGTAAGAGAGGTACGAAGGATCAGAAGAGCTTGACTGCCTTGTAGAAAGGGCCTGACGGAAAATGAAGCTAACACAAGGACCCAGATAAATCCCTGACATGAGCACTACCTCTGGCTTTTTAGATGGACAGACCCACCATCGCTTCTCTGAAACTCTTGACTCTAGATGTGTTTCAGAAATTCATAATTCTTCAGATGAGTAAAGTACAGTGAATGGGACACCCACTGGAGTGTATTATGCACATCTCCATCTGGATCAAGGACAGCATCCTCATAACGAAACGCATTAATGTATTTCTGCAACGAAACAAATTAATACCCTAGTTAATGTCTGTTTAGGTCAGGAGAGGTTTCTGCCCCGAAGAAAGTACAGATCAAGTAAGGTTTGGTTGCAGAAAGGGGCCAGATTCTGCTTTCGGAACTACACATAAAGGCATGTGGATCTGTTTAAACCAGCAGATTCCCTGTTTCCTCATCTGCTTGTTTTTCAGTTTTATTTAAACAGTATGAGTTGGGTTTTCAACACTTGCACCCAAAAGAGTCCCATTTGTATTCCTTATGGGCCTCTCTGTATTTCAGTTTTATTTACCACAACTCCTCTTTATGTAACTCACATTAGAGTCAAATTTAAAAGATTATATTTTGATTTTTTGTATTAAAAAAATCATGCAAACCTCTATATTGCATATGCCTTGTAAACCAAAGCTGTCCAACCAGGAGATGGGGAATTTAGCTGGCTGATGTTGTGGTCAGTTGTCCCAGCCCTACAGCTCTCACCAAGGCTCTCAGGAGAAAAGTGTGGCTTTCACTGTCCTCTCAGGGGAGAAGCAGATGCCACACTGACTCCTCTCGCTTTCTGTTTCCACTAGATCTCCACAGGCAAACACAAGAATCTGGAAAATCACAAGTGCTCCACTACAGAAACCCTCAGTCATCAGGGCATTGTCTTATTTTTCTTCGAACAGCCTTTTCATCTCCTTGGAGTCCTTATAGATCATATAATGCTTCGTATACCTTATTTTATTTATATATTCATGTTCATTATTAGGGTACTTGACATCACAGCAACACTGTGAGGTGGATGGAGCCGGTATTGAGGTCACCAACTTGAAAAACCAACAAATCAGGTTGGTGGTTAATAAAAGGGAAAACCGTGGAGTTTCACCCAAATCTCCTGACTCTTAGTCTAATTTTCTTTTTGGTCTCATTTTCCTCCTGGGTTAACCCAAACTGAAGATTTATTGCATGGATTGTTCCTTCTTGGTACATTTAGATGTAGAGACGTAATCTGTTGAAACTAGTGAGAATATTGCATGAGTAATTTCACTCTAAACTATGTGCAAATTTAACTTTGATAAAAATAAAAATTCATAGATACATACATACATATGCATCTTACAGCACACGTGAATGTCTATAAGCATTTATTTCTACCACCCCGGAAGCAAGTTGGCTTCTTTGTTGTTGAATCCAACCTGAATTAGCCAAGTAATTAAGTCCTGGGGCAGAGCCTGGAGATACTTCAGCCTCGGGGAAAGCCCAGACACTGTTTCATAGAACTTGAGCCGACAACACAAACACCCCTCCCTGCCCAAGGGATGCTTCTGGGTCAGGACTTCCTCTGTTAACCGAAGAGTCAGACATGACTGGACGTTTTCCCAGCACACTACCCTGCTTCTCTGGATGACCTTTAAGGTTAAGACCTCTGGATAGAAACTCATGAAAGAGAGCAAGAAGGCAAACTCAGCTGCCTTGGGGCTCACAAAAATGCAGTTTTTCATTTCAAATAGACCCCGAAAATCCCAATGGCCGAATACAAGCCATTCCTAGTCTATGAGGTTAATGCAACAGACCCACCATCATCAGGCCAAGCACGCGGTACTGCTTTTTCTCATGAAAGCTTCCCTGCTCATGAGAACTATGCAAGTGAGACTGGCTAGCAGAGGTCAGAACTGAGCTTCTTGGGCGTGGAGAGCTGCCTGGCGCAGAGCTAGATGTCTCACAGAGACAACCAGGGACTCCCACATCCATTTACAGATGGCTAAGGATTTGACTAGGGGAGCACAGTCCACTCCCATACCCATCAGACAAGCCCCGTCCCCTATTTCTAATGCCATCCATAAGCACCCAGAATTCACTCTTCCCTGTTCACCAACAATTTCAAGCATCCCACATCACTCCCAGGTCAAAACTAACCAGCAGAGTGAGAGGTATTCAGGACATCGCTGAACAAGGTGCTTCCTGCTAAAATCTCTCTTCCCACCGATTTGGAAAATGCTTCTTCTAAACTTCCTCATACAAGCTACATTCAGAATTGAATGAAATCAAAACTCAAATATGATCTACAATAACGTATCCAGGTAAGATGCTTTATAAAATAACCAGCCTCCAGATTTTTTTTGTCCGTTTCTTCCATCTTCCAGTGAGCTTATCCTATATTATTTAATAGGCTACAACCAAGATCAACCAGAGAGAAGGGCGCTGCCAAGGGAAATCAGCCAGAACTGTTTAGAATCCAATGGAAAACTATTTTTAAACAATTTCAAACTGTTAGTTGAAATGGAAAACCAGTTTCCCTGTCTACGAAGCTCTGATTTTGTTCTTCTTCCTCAGTCATCGAAAATGTGTTTTCCTGATCTTCAGTGTGTTGCATCTTCCATTATAAAACTGTCTTCCTTTCTCCATATCTAAATAAAGTCTGAATCGCACTTATTTCAGATTCAAATCCAACAAACCTTCCACTGCAAGCTTAACTATGTGCTGAGCAATGCAGAGTCAACTCCCTCTATTACCAAGAGATTTATCATTTTACCAATGAAGGAACAGGGGGCTCCATTAAGTTCAGTGACTTTCCTGCTTTCATAGGCCTTCCAAGTGGCATCTGCAGAGTTTCTAAGCCTCTTTCAATGGGCACTCCAGGTGAAAACACTTCCCCAGTATTGCCTGCAGCTGGCTTTATCTTTCTGGCATCTCGCTCAAGACAAATTACAAGGTTGGCGGGGGAGGGGGGGGGGTGCTCCTGGCAATCTCAATTTGGAATCAAGGATTATAAACCCAGAAGGATAAATACAACTACTGCACATAGCAAACAAGCTTCCCTGGGGACCTTCTCCCTGGGTTCAAATGACCAGAAGTTAATTTCTCCTGGTTTGTAGATTTTGTCCAAATGAAGGCTCACAATTAACATCATGTCAGGTCTTATTCCTTTATTTCATGTCTTTTCCATCTTCTAACTACGACACTGCTAACTCAAGGGTCAGAGCATCCAAAAAGGATGAGTGACGGAGAAGTAGCTTCTTCTCCCATCCTCGTGCAGGTCAACAGGCAAACATACCTACCCTTAGCCTGCCCAGCAGTGCTGCTCATACTAGATACTAAAAGGGCCTGGAGTCAGGGCTTAAAGGGAAGAAAGGCAGAGCTTTCTAGAGCTGATAATAATGCCAAACAAAATATGATATATGCTGACATGACAACTACCACTAACAATTAAGGCATCATTTCAGAATTTCAAGGTATAACCATTCACAAAATATAAACATTATGTGAAAACCTACTAAAACCATCATTATCTCTATGACCAAAGGCAAGAAAACCCTCATTAGCGTTCCCTTTCAGAAAGGCAAGCCTGTCCTTTGTGCCTGTTTGTTTGCTTACTTGCTCTAGTGTCACTCTGCCCATCCTATCTTTTGTGAACATGAGAGGCACGCCTATGCCTTTCTGTAGAAATCTGCAGGGCAGAAATTTTAACTCTGGTGGCTTTTAAATGCTAAGATGCTATACAATACATTACACTGAAATTCTGGATAGATATTCTAAACTTCACCTTTACTTTATCACATAAAATATTATACTGAAGGTACCAAAAAGATGACCAGGATATTACATGACTTTAGAAACAGTAACAGGTCTCAGCTCCAATTTGTGACACAGGAGGTGGGATCCCAGGCCCACGAGTAAAAACAGGAGAGCATTCCAAAGACATTCACAAATGAGTTACTGCCCTCAACTGAACCACAGCTGGTTTACTGATAGAAAGAAAGAGTAACAAAAGGACAGTCCTTACAATGCAATGATATTGCATGTGTGAACTCAATTTGCCACCTCCATGACTTAGCTTGGGGTTACGCTCCTTTGATCTACAGAGGAAATGTTTTACACTGTAAGAAGAGCTTGATCTTTTTACACTGGCTATGGCATCAGCTCAAGGGGTCCCCTGTAACCTCTGTAAGCACTCAATTTCCTCATTGGCATTGTAAAAACCGCAATAAATCGTGTTTGGTGTTATTTGTATGCAAGCTGTCTTACAATTACTTTTTAAATGAAGATCCATGAGGAAGAGGTATATAGCTCAGTGGCAGAGTGTGTGCCTAGCATGCACAAGGTCCAGGGTTCAATACCCAGTAACTCCGTTAAAAATAAACAAATAAAAACCTAGTTATTTCCTACCCACCAATAAATAAATAAATGAAAATCCATGGCTCTTTGTTAGAAGGCCCATTGTAAAAAGTCAGGCAAGGCTGCAAGATACCGTAATGTTTGCTTGTTCAAAAGTGGGTTCTGTGATAATTGCTTCTTCCCCACACTGCCAGGTTCCAAAATTTCTAAGTTCTACTTAATGCGTGCATTTAGATATAGATCTTCCTGCTTTTGCAATTTGTGAAGCTTCTTAGGTTCAAGAAGTCCAGGCCTGTTTGAACTAAGTTATCTGTGAATTCAGACTGGATGTTTACTTCTAGTCTACTGAGCCACTACATCAGAATTCAGGGAAATGGGGGTTTACTTTCTTCCTCCTTCCCCCTCAACCTCAAAGGCAGGATTCATGCAGGAGTAAGTAGGCCTGGACCAGTCAGCCCTCAGCCTGAATGATGCCCTTGCCACAGTCTAGCTGGGTGACCCTGGGGCCAGTCAACCGCCCCAGAGTCTTGGTTTCCTCTTTGCTGTATGTGAAGCTCTTTGCTGTATGTGAAGTCATATCTGCCAAAAATGGTCATTCCATGTATTATGAAGTAAGTGCATGGTCAAGAACTATTCTTCCAACAGGCCTGTTGTATGAGAGATGCTCAGTGTTAGCTGAACCTGACAGACGCATCTGGAAAGATTATTAACACGACTACTTTCATTGTTAGCTTTCCCAGTTACACTCCCGGGTCACATGCAGCACCCAACTTTAAGCGCACGTAAAAAGAGAACAGACTCAATGTTTGCTTCCAGCAGAGTCCTAACAAGCATTAGAATGGAACTCTCCTGAAGATAATAGCCACTCAGGCAAGAAAATCTGGCTGGCTGTCTCTTCCTTCCTTCCTGGTACGTGTGTTGGGCCGGTAGGGGAGGGGGATACAGACCACGCCTGTTGCCCTGGTCTCAGTACTCCACAGGACTGGCTTCTCCAGAGCATGTCCTCCCTCTGGACCCGCAAAGCACAACAAGATCTCACACTCCCGCTCCTCCCAAGCCCCCAACGCTCCCTAGCTCCATCTAGAAGTGCCAACAGCAGCTCTGCCTCCCGTCTTCGGTGCCCCATCACCAGGCAGCCAAGGGTCCCCGTGCTGGAACACGTGTTACTGGCCACAGAATGCAATAGCATCAGAAACCATCTGTGCTCTCCTGCTCCAGTGGCACCAGCCAGCACCTTTCCTCTCTCCATCCTGGCAGGGCACGCAGGGCTCGTGCAGCCGGAGCAGTTCCACCAGTGTGTCTGCAATCGAGGGCGCCCCTAATCACCCTTGCCTCCCTCCCCAGCAGAGTCTCGCCAAGGTCTGGCCAGGGCCCACCCCCCCCCCGGGCCAAGGGGGAGAAGCGAATGGGAGGGGTGTAAGGATGGGGAGGGGGTACACTTTACATACTTAGCCCTCTCCAACCCATTTCTTGCAGGAAACAGAGCGAGGAAGCCAAGACTATTTACCCTGGAGGCAGCTCCAAATCAGCTGGGCTCCCAATCACCCTCATAAAACCCTTCAATTCACCGTCCCCCAGCAGGGCACCTCTGCCAAAAGCCCACAGCACCCCGCAAAAACCCCGAGCCCCGCTGCCGGCCCAACTCTCCCCCACGGCGCCGCCTCCGGGCCCTGCACATCCATCCCGGAGGGAAGACTCGCTGTTTCTACAGCAGAACGGGTCAGTGGTCTCAGAAGTTTCCCACCTTCCCCTCTGACTCCGCGCTGGGAGCCCTCAAGAGGATCCTGCTAAAGAGGCGAAGAAGCCTGGAGGTCTCCCCCCAAAATCTTTGCTCACGTCGGGTCCGGCCCCGTCTTCCCGCCCAGCTCCAGTCCCTGCGCCCCCTGAGCCGCCAGTGCCCAGCGGTCCTCTCGCCCTTGGAAGAGGAAACTTCTCTCTGGGCTAAATTAAGGTCCGAGCAGGAAAGGCTTTCCCTTCCCCGCCTCCTCCTTACTCCTGCTCTCAGAAACCACAGGGAGCCGGCTCCAGGGGCGCGCCTGCCCTCTACCCCGAAAAGAGCCCAGGCTATCAATGCTCCCCTACTTCCCACGTCAAAAGGTCCGATCAGCTCTGAAACCACCACGGGGGTATGTACACTTGTGATTCTTCCAGAGACCCTACTTGTCCCTCGTGGCTTGCAAGAAACGAGTAAACAAAACACAAACCCCAGCAACTTGGGGGAGTGAGTGAGTAAGTGTGTGTATGTGTGTGTGTGAGAGAGAGAGAGAGAGCGCGCAAGAGAGAGAGAACCGCTCAAGAGTTAGGGCAACAGCTGCAGGAGCACATCTGGAAGAGGGGGAGGGGGACTGACGAGGAGGGGACAAGCGCAAGGTCGTGGGGGACTCCCCCCGGCCCCCTTCGCAGCTTCAGGGCCGAGAGCCCGGCCAGCCAGTGGTTACCTGTCCTATGTTGATGAATCCGTACTTGCTGGCTATGCGGTTGGCCTCCGGGAAGCCGCCGGCGATTTTGACTGCCCAGTGGTTGGTGTAGACGCGCGTCCTGCACACGGGAAGCAGGCAGCCCCAGAGCAGCGCCAGCACGCACAGCAGGTCCAGCCGTCCGGGGCAGAAGCAGCGGCTCCCCCAGCCCATGGCCCCGGCGCTTCGCTGCTCGCTTGTTCGCTCGCTTGCTCGCTCCGCGCACTAAGCTGCGCGCACAACTAACTTCTCCGGCCTGGGCC